AAATTTGATATTCAGATGGCATGTCCAAGTACAGATGGGGGAAGGACTCTGACTTTATTACCAGCTGAAACGATGGAAGGAAACCAATTATGGAAGGGGATGTCTCAGCGGCCCATGCCGAGTCATCTCTTCCCCCTGAGGGACCAGCCACATGACAGTACAGCATAGAATAGAGTTTATTCAGGGCATGAGAGGAGAGCCAGGAGGGTAGTAAAGGCAGAGGGGGGCGGGGGTAGAGGCCAGCCATGACCACGTGGAGAGAGGGGGAAGGGAAGGGAGGAGGGGCGGGGGTACAGAGAGAAGCTGGAGGCAAGAGAGTAAGGGAGTAAGAGAACAAGAGAGCAAGAGGGAGAGGAGGGGGCAAGCAGCCCCTTTTTATAGTGGGCAGGCCTACCTGGCTATTGCCAGATAACTGGAGGTAGAGTTTAGACAGAATACTAACACCAGCCACTCATGTAATGTGAATTCAGTTCAGATCTCTAATAATAGTTTACAGTTTGAATAATAGGCCATTTTGCTTTTAAAAAGAAAGCATGGGAGAGGGATTGTTGAGTGTAATAAGTTATGATGATGTTCAAACCTTGGGCAAATCTGTTACATAAACTAAATTTTAATTTTGTATAATTAATATTTTCAACTCTAGCTTAAGTTAATTAACTTTTACTTTCAATTTGATATGTTGTTTGAGTAGATTTAATTGAGCTGCTTTTCAGCATAAATTTATATTCCTGTTCAGATGAACTGTGGAAAATTAGGAGTAGTTAAAAGCTTATCTCTTTAATATTTTTGCATAATTAATTTGATTAAAACAAATCTCATTAAAGACCTTTAAAGCAAAAGTTTATGCAGTAGTAGGAAAGGATTTATATCCATTTACTTTTGCTGAATCTGTACTGGATTAACCCCAATTCTACTTTGGCTGCGAACTACAAATACTGCAACTAATTATCCCACCCTGGTCAGGATTGCCCTCATACTGAGGGTTTGTTCTTTCTCACTACAGAGGCAGAAGGCAAACCCTGAGGGGAAGTTAGGTGGCCCAGAAACCTGCAGTATGACTCACCAGCTTAGAAAATGCAAGCATTGCTCTTGTCTGGGGCCTTGGAATCCAGAGTTGCTATAATTTGTTCCCGAATGGGATTTGAGATTCAGAGTCTAGGAGAAAATTAACTCACACAGATATGCCTATTGTTGCTTTTTCTGGGACCAGGGGTCAAGAGTCAAGACAGAAATTAATATCTGGAGAGCCACAGAAGTCCCAGGTTGTCAGTGATGAGAAGAGGAACCCAAAAGCAACTTAGAAAGCCAGAATGGCAGGCACATAGATGTCACTGGGCAGGTGGTATGAACACCTTTAATCTCAGTCAGTGCTCAGGAAGTTGAGGCAGGAGCATCATACTGGCAAAGCCAGCCTAAGCTACATAGTGAGGCTTTGTCTCTAAATAGCTTACTAGATGATAGATAGGTAAATAAGTAGATGGATGGATAGATAGATAGATAGATAGATAGATAGAAGTCATTAGATGATAGATGATAGGTAGGTAGGTACATAGACAGACAGACAGATATAGGCAGGCAAGGAGATAGGCATAGAGAAAGATTTGGCTGGGGATATGACTGAATGATAGTGTGTCTATTTGGCATATGTGAGGTCCTAGGTTCAAATCCCAGCACAATAATAGTAATGATGATGGTGATAATAATGATAATAATATCTAATAGAAATTTCTTGTGGACAGAAAGTCTGCTTCTTTTTTCTTCTCTGTGTGTGCCACAGCAAAGTCTGAGAGCCTCAGACTGAGACTGCAGAGAGTCTGGGTTAATGTAGATATTTGTAATGACAAGAAACTGCATCATTGGAAATAATTAGTTTCAAAGAACAGAAATTAGTTCAAGCAATTGCCTTTGTCACTTTGAATGGCTATAACAAATACCAAGGTGGCTGAGAACACACACACACACACATACACACACACATACACACACACACACATTTCTCACAGTTCTGGAGAGGGTGAAATTACAGTGCTAGACTCTCGGGAAGCCTCCTTCCTGGTCAGCAGACAGACTTCTCACATAATAATTCTCATTCTCTCTCTCTCTCTCTCTCTCTCTCTCTCTCTCTCTCTCTCTCTCTCTCTCCACTCCCCCCACTCCCTCCCTCCCCCCCACTTTCTCTTCTTCAAACTCACGAACTCACAATCCTCCAGACACTGTCTCTTCCTAGTGTTGGGGTTACCGGGATGAACCACCACACCCAATCATGTCTTATAATGATACCAGTCCCATTGATTAGTACTCTAATTTCCACATAGATTGTTTGTAGGTGAGTGTCTCTGCATGGATGCGTGAGTGCATGCGTGTGTGTACATGTATCTAGAGATTAGAGAACAGCTTGTGAGAATCTGTTCCTACTTTCTGCAACAAGAGTGCCAGGTATCAAACACATCTTCAGGTTTGGCTGCAAGGACTCACTAAGCTGTCATAAGACAGGTCCTTGGTTACATCATTTTTAAAGCCAGAAAGAAGGCTTTGTTGTAGCCTTTTTGGTTTGGATTTTTTTTCTAGAAGTCTTCCTTCCAGATTTATTCTGGTAAAGTCAGATTCAGCTGTCTTGAGTTACCTGCTCTGTTCCATTTTCTGCTGTGTAGCACTTAAGCATTGCCAGTGAGGAGCTGCCATCACAGTCAAGCCACAGTCACTGCCACAGCAGCCATGGCACTGTCCTGTCAGAGCTTTTCACATTACTTGTAGAACCTTTGCCTGGTGACTCAATTAGAGAAGATATTATTTAGGTTGCTGTCGTACTTTGTGCCAAGCAGTACATATTTAGTGCGTGAAAGAGCCTGACTTTAATCTCCAACACCAAGAAGGAAAAATGGGAAAGTCAAAGGGGAACAGAAGGAGTCTGTCTGTCTATCTGTCTGCCTGTCTGCCTGTCTGTTTGTGTCTGTGTGTATGAAAAATAAAATCATGAAAGTATTTGTACATTTGTAGTAGTATGATAGTATTGGAAATCTGGGGTGCAAGTACATTATTAAATTCATGAATATTGAAGTTAACAGCAGAAAAGATGAGTGACTAAATATCTGAAGGGTTTCAAGAGGACCATTCCCGAACTGTGACAGCTCGTCTTATAGTTCTCACGTCAACTTTGGAGCAGCTGCTTAAATCCTTTAGATGTTAGGAAAGTGAGGCACAGGTAACTGGGAGTGTAGGTATCTGTGCATTTTTGGGACTTTTGGTGGAGAACACAACAAAACCAGATGGAATAAGAGACAGAGCAAAGCAGTATCCAGAGAGCCCTAGGCATAGGGGTTTCAAAGATATGTCAATTATGTCATCAGATTCATCATTACAGAGACATCAAGGGCAGATAGGTTAAACACCAATTTCAAAAGACTCATCCCCTTGAGTCTCTATTGTTGAGTGTACTGTACCAGCCATAAGATGGTAGAAGTTATCAGAGCCACAGTTATATAGGAATAACATAACAATACAGGTCATTAGTTACTTAACAAACAGATGGGGAAACCAGAATTCTATGGAAGGTCTAAGAGAATAATTATAGTTATCATCATAATGTATTAGTGGGAAGAACTGCATTGAAAAGTTTAGGTCTACTGTTCTATTATATTTAGGTGACTCCAGTCTGTAACAGTGAGACAGGTCACACGCTTGCACCTGCCCAAGAGCTATCTGAATTCGTGAATGAAACATACACACACACACACACACATACACACACACACAACAATTAATTTTAATATGTCTTGACTAGCTCAACGTCTGGGCAGTTCTAATCCTCCCTGTGGCTAGCACACTTTTCCTCTGGTACTCCTGGCTTAACGCTCTCTATTTCTATATTTTATCATGGTTGCCCTGGCTCCTGGGTGGCCTTCTAGTCTTTGCTGCCCAAGATGCTTTTTGTAGCCCTTCCAGGGTCCTCATTCCTTCTCACCTACATTTCAGATGATTTTCCTTCTGCAGCTCAAAATCTAATCCCTTTCCCTCTGAGACATGGTGTCTCCTCCCTTGCTCCCAGTTCCTAGCCTGTGCAAATCTAAAGGTCCTGCCTCAGTCTACCTGCACGACCATTGGCCTTTGACTCTTTATTGATCAATCAAAAACCAATTGGGGACAAGGACCTTTAGTGTTTAGACACACAGATTCTTGATTTTGTGGGCCAGATTAATTCAAAGCATTAGAACCAATCCCCAACACCAGTCAAATTATAATTTTAGTACATCTTGGGCACGAACAGATGACTAGTTGGTTGTCTACAGTAAGATGTCCTGTGTAATTACCTGGCCTAAAATTCAGCTTAAAACAGATATATAAAATTTATCTCCTGTGGTAACAAAATTTATTTTGTACAATAACGGTGACACACTTGCAGTACCATGTTTAATGGGCCCTCCAGAGCTCTGTATATACTATAGTTTGGTCTGTTTTCTACATTCTTTAGGAATCTGGAAAAACCATAGAAAATGAAGTATCTGTCATAAAACTTTGCATTAAGCTCAACTACTATTCTCATAAAGTTTAGCAACAGGGTTAAGGAATTTAGACCTCCATTAACTATAGCCACAGCTGAATTTAAGAGACTTTATATAGTTGTGAATCTTTAGTACAAAGAATATTGAGACTTTTACCATTAATGAATTGTATATATACATAAAAGCGAAGCCATTGTTTAATTCCAAGTGTATACATAGATACCTTCATGTATATATTTATTCATTGTGTGAATATACAGACTATATTTTTACAGTTATTTCTTATTTTTTCCCAAACAGATAAACAACCAGATCCTTTATGGAAGAAGTCATCAGAATGCGTCTGCCATTATTAAGACTGCCCCGACCAGGGTCAAACTGGTTTTCATTAGGTAAGGGAAATAGGCCTGGTTTTCTAAATATACTCTGCTCTTCAGAGACCATTATTAGCATTAGTATTTTATTTTTGCTTTGTCTAACACTATATTCTAAAACTACACTTTTCCTTTTCGGTCACTCTAAGAAAACCATGGACTGTTTTGTCTCTAGGATTTTTCTTATTTTTATGTTTGACAAGATGGAATTGGTAGTTGAGTTTACTATTATATATATTTCAACTTTTAAAAATATCTGCGTGCTTACATCTGTAGAGATGTACTGGAGGCCACTCACTACTGCCATCATTGGTTGGTATTTACTGATCAGTTATTGTCTTCATGAAAGAACCAACAATTAGAGAACCCAGAAAGGTGTAGGGGTGCTGGTGAAGGCTGTGCATATATTGAACTGGTAGAGCTCTTGCCAGAATGTGCTAGATCCTGGCTTTATCACCAACACCAGTGTGTGCCTACAATCCAAGCAATTGGCAGGGGCTGAGGGTCAGGAGTTCAAGGTCATACTTGTGTACCATAGAGAGCCAGAGGCCAGCCTGAGCTACAGGAGATGTTGTTAAGAAAAACAGTCCTGGGGGCTGGTGAGATGGCTCAGTGGTTAAGAGCACTGACTGCTCTTCCAGAGGTCATGAGTTCAAATCCCAGCAACCACATGGTGGCTCACAACCATCTGTAATGATATCTGATACCTTCTTGTGGGGTGTCTGAAGATAGCTACAGTGTATTTACATATAATAAATAAATTAATTAAAAAAAACAACAATTCAAAAAAAAAAAAAAGAAAAAAGAAAAACAGTCCTGGTGAGGGATGGAGCCCAGGTGCACCAGCTCTGCAGTGTTGGGGATTCAATCCTTGGCCCACCTGAGTTCCTACAATGGTTGTCGGTGAGAGTTGGGAGTCTGTTCATCTTGTCGACAGTTTTCTATATCAGCAAGAGCTAAACTGAAGCCTCTGTTATTTGACTGGAATAATATTAAGTTTGAATAATTCATAGGTGGTGTAAGTAACCGTGTTTGTTAAGTATTTCTGGATATCTTTTCCCTGTGCTTCCATTACCATTTTTTAAAATGGACACCTCATCTCCTTCATTGTTTTGCGTCAAAATTTTTAAATGATGAGCTGTGAAGATGAATCAGTGCTTAAGAGCACTGGCTGCTCTTGCAGAGGACTCAGATTCAATTCCAAGCACCCATGTGGTAGCTTACAGCACCTGTGTCTTTAGTTCCAGGGAATCCAATGTCTCTTCCTGACTTCAGTGGGCACTGGATGTACACATGGTACACATACATGCAGACAAAACACTCATACACATAAACAAAATAAACCATTTTTTTTCAAATTTTGAAAATAATCAATATGGTCTGGGAATCGAGCTCAGTGGTAGAGCACCGGTCTAGACTGCGCACAGTCCTGGGTTTCATCCGCAGCACTAAGAATAAATCAAGTGATCAATACAGTGAGAAGCATAGGGTAAGGGCAGAGAGAATGTTCACTGCCCTTACAGGATGAAAATGATGGTTATTTTCTCTTTCTCCTTAATTACCATCCAACACTGCCAAAAGTTGGGGCCAGGGGAGATGTGCAAAAGAACAGAAGGCCTATAGAAGGAAAAAAGTTATACTGTTATACTAGTGATTCTATACACTTCCTTGTCATATCCTCTTTTAAAGTTACAGGGAAATGAGCTTCAACTGAATCAGGAGAGCTGTGTGTAGTGCTGACAGCCAGACTTTATTGGCCTGAGTTGATGTGTATTTGGTATTTTATGTGCAGACAATGAATTAATCCTTCACTTGTCCAAATGGAAGGAGATATTCCTTCTGAGAATGCTTAACTAGATATAGGGTTCCCCCCCCTTCCCACCCAGAACCCAGCTAAAAATTAGAAGAAGAAACCTTGGATCCAGCATCCCAGGACTTGGAACCCAGCTGTTTACACACATCTGTGTGAGCTTAGTTGGTTTCCTGGTATAAATGGGCATGATTGCCTGTGGGCTCAGCAGTGGCTACTGATATGGGGACATCTGTGAGTGTGGCAGGAAAGGTTAGGAAGGGTGGAAGAAAGGGCCCAAAAGAAGTCAGAAAGGAGATGCTACAAAAATGCACTCTGCTCTGTGTTCTGTTTAATTTTAAGATAGTGTGTGTGTATGTATGTGTGTGTGTGTCTCTCTGTGTGTGTGTCTCTCTGTGTGTGTCTGTGTGTGTGTCTGTATGTGTGTGTGTCTGTGTATATATGTCTCTGTGTGTGTGTGTGTGTGTGTTTGTGTCTGTATTTTGTATCTGTCTGTGTCTGTGTGTATTTGTACATGTATATTGGGGGCATTCAAGTGATTCATGTTCTACAGCAAGAGTGTAGAAATCAGAAAACAACTTGTGAGAGTCAGTCCCTCCACCGTGTGGGTCCTGTCATGGAACTTGTGTTGTCAGACTTGCTGACTAGTGCTTCTTGTGCTCTCCCAGCTTTGATTCTGTTACACAAAGCAAATTTGTGCTGTAAGAATCTCTCATTGCATCATAATGAATAAGTACCAGAAAAAGGAACAATATGTTATTTCCTGAAACTGTTATTAAAGGGATCAAATCCCCCTCCTTAGCTTATTTTTTAAGTAAGGTTTACCCATTATTATTAATTAGGGGTACAATACCTTTAATAAGGAGTATGCAGAAAAACATCTAATACAGTGAATCCCAATGTCAATGAAATATTTCAGTTTTACTTGGGTAGGTAACATTAGATCTTGTCACCATTTCATGCAATGTTTGTTTCTCATCAGATCTGTATAGGACAAATGGACATCACTGGTAGATTTGCATCTCCTTCCTATGCAGTGACCTGTCTGTGGTCACTGGTGCACTGGCTAGAGCTCTGTCATATTCGTATTCTGTCACCTCTCCTGGCCTCTGGAACATTAATGGTAGAGTTACACGTACCCATGCGGGTAACACAGGAGATTATCGTCCATCTATCCACAGTGGCTGTGCATCATAGGTCCTGGCCAGTGTTTTATGCTCATGATTGTCTGGCTCATCACTCACTTGCACACATCTTTTGGCCTCCTATGCACTGCCACGTTCAGACTATAAGAACCCAGGTCTTGCCCACTTGGGAACCAGATTGTGGAAGAACTAAAAGTTAATTTATAAAATTTCAGCAAGTTAACTCTTGAGTCATCTCAGCACCAGTGATATGATTAAACCCCGTGTCACTTGTGTCACTTGAGCTGGATTGTCTTATTTGAAACTGCATTTACATATACTGTATTTTTATAGTTGATGATTCTATTTGGAAGCATTTCCTGCCTGAGTTGAAATTACTAATTTTTGAAACCTTTCCATTATACAGAAGTTACTGGATTCTTTACCTTGGTGACTTTTTTTCAGATTTATTGATCTTTAAAATAAAAATGAGAACTGGCCACAGGCTTTGGAGTATAATTATCACTCAGGGAGGGGGAGCTGTTAAAATGTGCCACGTGCCATGTTTTAGTTAACTGGGTCCCTTAGTCTGTAATGATGCATGTGCCTATGATCACATCCATGTCCTGTTCCCGTAACACATGTCTTCATTCATGTTAATTGACCAGTTATTTACTGGAGTCTGTGAGTTGCTGTGTGTAAGTATCCATAGTTTACATAATTACCCCATATATATTTGTATATTATTATTGAATCAAAACCATACAGTCTTTGTTTTGCTAAGTTGTTCACCTCTTCACCTTATGGATGCATATTGCGATCTATCCTCTTGGTCCATTTTGTGCTTTCCCCTCTGTGCAAGCAAGCCAGCTTACACAGAGGAGGCTATATTCATGCTGGGATGAATAGCTGTGTGTGCCATGAGGGGAGCCAAGGAGATTAATGATCTTGCCTGCAGTTCCTGTCATGCCTTCCCTGACTATTGAAAATTAAATGTCATGTATAAGAACTCAGTCTCCATTATGTAATTACGTGTGGAAAATGTGTACCGTGTAAAACTCCTGGGGCTAAAGGAGGCAAATGAAACTGCAAGTCTTGGGAAGATTTAGTGCTGGCTGCCAGGCCCTGCAGAATAAAAGTGAACTCACCATGGGAGCCGCCCTACTGTGTCAATTGAACATATGTCTTGTCTTGGCAATTCAAAAGAGTGTGGCCTGCACATCTTCCTGAAACATGATATTGGCTTGAAATTAATATGAATATCAGAGTCCTCTTGAGGCAGAGCCCATCCAAAAAGTCATCTTGGATTCCTGCTTTTAAAACCTCTCACTCTGTAGCCTTCTGGGCCTTTGGGAAGGAACCACAGGGAGAGATGCTTAGCTGAAACCCAGTGCACAAGGAAGCAAATTTGTACAGAAGTCAAAGGCTAGGTGTTGGTCAGTGGATATGAACATTGAGGGGTGTGTGTGTGTGTGTGTGTGTGTGTGTGTGTGTGTGTAATTTCAAATCCTGTAAGGGGCTGTATTTAAGAACACAGTGACTATCGTTCATGGTATATAGAATGGAGAACTTTGAGAACAAGGCCTGACATTAGTGCTGACATCCACCGCAGGTCAGAGTAAGAAGACAACAGAGACACTGGTGCCTCCCAGGCTTTCTCTCTCTTGTTGACCAATAAGGTGGACCTGTGAGGGTCTTCCATAATGCTCTCAAGAACTAACTCTTGCTTATTTTCTTCCTGTACAGAAATACCTACTTCTTATATGTCTTTAAATCTTTTTATTTATTATTTATTGTTATCGTACATACATGTTTGTATATATGTATACATGATGTGTGTATGTAAGAATATGGGCATGCACACATCACAGTGTGTGCATGAGGTCAGCAGACAACTTGAATCAGTTCTCTCCTTCCTTTATGTGGGTTCCAGGGATCAAATTCACGATGTCAGACTTCAGTGGCAAGTCCTCTCACCAGCACAATATCTCACCACTCTTGTTACACATTTTAAGCTTAAATTGTATTTACTTACTGGGTTGTTTGTTTTTGGTGGGTTTTTTTTTTTTTTTGTAAGTTCGATT